TGTTATGTTCCAGATGTAACACAGTCAATGTTTTACTTACTTTTCTTTTTTATTATTCATCACCCCTCCAGAAAATCAGCTCCATGAGAGCATGAATCTTTGTTCAATGAACAGAACAGTGGCTGGCACATAGTAGGTACTCAATAAATATTTGTTGAGAGAATGAGTGAATGAATGAATGAATGATGCTACTCACCTGTTTAGGGATCTACAAAAATTCAAACTCCTATTTGTGGCTTTTGAAACCCTGCATCAGCTAGTCTGTCTCTCTCTAACTTATTCTGCTCTACTCCCACAACACCCCTCCTCTGTGGTCACACTCTGTGGGCATCCCATTGCCATCATGTGGATTTCCTCATTGGTGCTTTTGTTCTTACACTTGCTTGCCTCCGGTGTCTTCCTTTCTTCTTCCTGCCTTCTGTCCAAATCCTCTTCCTCCTTCAGGACTTATCTGAAGTCCCATCTCCTTTCTCCGTCTTCTCCAGTATTCTGACACATTGCCCTGTCTCTGTGTCTGAGTGGTCGCAGCGATAATGCTGAATCTTATTTCAGATCTTCATTTTTGCCTCTCCAATTACATTGTAAGCTCCTGAATCATGTACCACCTTGATGATTTTTGAGGATCTCTCATGGTGCCTAACATGTTGTTAGACACATGGTAATTACTCAACACTGAATTATTGATTGGTAAGATGGAGGGTGGCTCTGAATCCTTTTTGAGGTTGTGTATGGCCACAATTTCCAGACTTCTCAAGAAAGAGGATCTCTTTTTAAGTTAAAAAAAAAAAAAAGAACTGTTAAGAAATGAATTCCAAGAATATTATTAAATGAAAAAAGCAAGCTGCAAAATAGTATACAGAATGCAGTCCTATTTGTCAAAAAAATGTAGACCTTATATATATATACTATATATATATAGATATTAAATATATATATAATACTACTATTATATTATATGTATAATAAGCTTAAAAGTTTCTGGAAGGATGCACAGGACTGTGAGTGGTAGTTTTCTCTAGAACAGGCATGGGAAGGACTTATATATTGTACTCTTCACTCGGCTGAACCATCATCTCAAATTATCAATTAACAATTCTTTAAAAATTCACAGACTACCTCTCCCACCACGTGACAGTAGTTGTACTTTGGATCTATTGCTTGAGAAAATGTCTACTGACAAGAAGTTACTATTAACCCAGTAATGATTTTAAATGAATTTGCATTTCTCAATCACTATGGCATCTATAAAGATTTGAGAAATTAAGAGAAACACATTATTCAATCTAAGGAGAATGCTGGGTAGCTCCACAATCTCCGAGCAATCTCTTACCTGGGAAGAGACACCACTGGCCTACAGAACTTTGATAAGTTTGTCGGTATTGCATTGTGTTCCATTTCTGGGAGCCTTTACAGAGCCTTTCATGTAGTTAGTACTCAAAAACTTGTGGAACATGAGTTCAAGTCTTGGAAAAGCTGCGGTACACGTGAGAACAGTGGCTAAGGGCCATTCACAACCTCTCAACAATCAGCCCTTCAGAATGGAATCCTGTCCCCCCTCCAACCACCTTCAACTACTGCAGCCCTCCAGGAGTGGATTAATGCCACAAAGGAGGGAACATCTCAGGCCTATATCTCTTGTTTCATATTCAGAGTTAGGGGAAATGTACAGGAAAGGACTATCTGAGCATGAATCCAGTGAATGAAGTGAAAATTGGTGGCCTTAGAGTTGACTCAACTTAGTCATTAAGTTTCAATTTCTTTAAGAAAATTCAGGGCCCGGTGGCATAGTGGTTAAGTTTGAACACTCTGCTCCAGCAGCCTGGGGTTCATGGGCTCGGATTCCAGGCACAGACCTACACATTGCTCATCAAGCCATGCTGTGGCGGCATCCCACATACAAAATAGAGGAAGATTGGCACGGATGTTACCTCAGGGCCAATCTTCCTCAAGCAAAAAGAGGAAAATTGGCAATGGATATTAGCTCAGGGCCAATCTTCCTCGCCAGAAAAAAAAAAAACAAAAAAACAAACCAGAACACTGAGGTCAGAAAGAAATTCATATAAACAAAGTCTTTTTTGCTTTCCCTGGGAAAGACGGGCAATTAGAAAAGGTAAATACCACATCTCTGGCATAATCTATGACACCAGATATTTTATTTCATAACCAAACATGAAGCAAACCAAATTAACCAAGAGATACCCAGACTCTATAAAGCTGAAAGCTTGGTTTTATGGAAAGAGCTCTGGTGTCAGATATGCTTAGATTCAAATCTTGCTACTTTCTTAGACAAATTACTTTAATCTCTCTAAATGCGCTGTTTCCTCATCTGTGACCTGCAGGTATTTCTTACCTTATAAGAATGTTGTGATGATTAAATGAAATAACATATATAACTCTACAAATGGTTACTATTATAGTTTTAAAATTTAAGAAGACTTTATTTCCCAAACAAATATGCCAAACACTCAAAATTCACCAAAGGTTATACTTCCGAAGACAGACGTGTTTACAGTCAACCTTCTCAGTCACTGAGACCATGAGCCGTTAGGAGACTACTCTTCCCTCTCACTTAGAAACTGGTCAGTCTTTTTTTCATTATCAAATTATTCTTTTTTGTAATCAAATTTTGGGATGATAAAGATCCTAGTAAATTCAAATAACTGAATTAGTTACCAGCTACTAATTTAATGTTTCAGAATGGCTTTTTGGTGGAAGATACGCTTGTGCGGGTTGCAGTGAACTTGCATACGATACAGTGTTATGGTGTGTAGGTGTTACCTAATTTGGGTGCTCTGAATACCACTGTTTAGTAGCCAAATAGCATCCCTTGAGAAGATGCTCACCATCAATTACTCAGGGGAAAAGTTCAAGGGCAGGTGCCACTGAGATCCCTGGACCACCAAGAACTCACATCTGCCATCAGCCACACTGGAACTTGCTCTGAAGGATTTTGTTTGCTGACTTTATCAGGAAAAGTGCTGAGCATCACTCTCATTCCCCTTCATCTGCTTTGACAAAGCCACAAAGTCATTTTTCAGCTTTCAGAGCTGGAAGGGATCTAGGATCTCATCTAGTCAGTGGTTATCAAACTGTAGGGTTCCAAGAAACCTTCAGGTTCAGAAGCAATACTTCAGGAGTGAGAGGGAGCCCAGAGGATTACACTCCAGACCATTCTCACTCACTACTTTTGCAGCTCCATTTCTTTGTTTTACACAATCAAGTATCATACAAAATTTCATTTGAAAGTCATCAGAAGGGTTCTGCTAACAAGGAAAGCTTTTTAAAAAATTTTTGTTTATTTTTTTATTTATTTTGGTTAGGAAGATTTGCCCTGAGCTAACATCCATTGTCAATCCTCCTCTCTTTTCACTTGAGGAGGATTAGCCCTGAGCTAACATCTGTGCCAATCTTCTTTTTTCTTCTTCTCCCCAAAGCCCCCCAGTACATAGTTGTACATCCTAGTTGTGAGTGCCTCTGGTTGTGCTATGTGGGATGTCATCTCAGCATGGCCTGATGAGTGGTGGCACGTTGGCTTCCAGGATCTGAACCCGTGAAACCCTGGGCCACTGAAGCAGAGTGTGTGGACTTAACCACTCGGCCATGGGGCCAGCCCCTGATAAGGAAAGTTTTTAAATCATGGACACACAGTTACAGATGAAGAAGATGCACCCAAAGAGATAATATGTCTTGCCTAATGCCACACAAGGTCTGATTTCTGGTCTGGTGTAACAGGCATGTCCCAAGCTTCCTTCATTATGCATATTTCTTATCATCGTAGAGGTCCTAGTAAACGTGAAGAGCAGATACGAGGGAAGGCACGTATCACTCACATATGTGTACACACAGGGGGGTGGGGTGGGGTGGGGTGGGGGGAATTCAGCAAGTATTTGTTTTTTCTGATTTTGATTCTTAATTTGCTAATGGGTAGAAGCATAATTTACCACACTGGTGTTCAGTTCTTCCCCAAGATAATTTCCGGCAAAGGGCTTTTTTCCCCTTTGATTAAGTTTGCACAGCAACAGAGATGGCTCTTTCAAATTGAGTCACTACTTGCTTAAACCTCAAGATAATCTAGCTCTCTATTAAGACAGAACCTCTTATAATGAATCAGAATAATTTAAATAGCCTCTTTGAATAATGCTAAGTATCTCCACAAAAGGAAAAGCTCAGCCTCTTAGATTTCTCAGTCATCTTTGTCCAACACAAACTCTTCTACAAAAATGGCATCAAGGTGGGCAAGGATAGGAAAGTGGTTTATAAGACCTCATGGTGGAGGGGAGGAATCGAGGTCCCTGGGCACCATGCTCCAACTGGTTTCCAGGGTGATGCCTCTTGACCACTCAGTTGCTGTTACCTTATTGGTATTCATTGTTGAAGTCTGTGATGAATTCAGAATCCATACTCTTAGCTTTTGCTAGTCCATCGGGAGGTATAGGCTAGTCCAACAGCCGTCTTTTAACTCTTGCTAGATGCAGACCATTAATCTTCTGCCACATCCTCCTCAGTGATCCACCCCCACCCTCTGTTCCTGCAACATCACATACTGTCACAGCTGGCCCCATGGGAGGTCCACTGGCCGTTGACTCAGCATCCAAACCCTTGGGTGCTCAGAGTGTCCTAGGAAAGCTAAGCCACAGCAACTCTCTCCAATCAGTGTTGTCCTTCCTGAACTCTTCTCCCTCCGAGATTCCCTTTCCAGCAGAGTTAGGTCACACATCTGTCTAGTTTACTCTCCTATCTCTGTCTTTCCCTCTTTTCTTCCTACAATCCTCTGAGGCCTAGAGAGGGCAGGCTTTCCCCTATATCATATCTACCTTGCTACTTTTGCCTTCATGGAAAAATGATATTTCTTTTATACTCCATAAAGAGTATAAGTCATCCTTAGCCAATTTAGACAAATGTATAATTGGAAGGGCAAAAGAGAAAAGCGCTTTAATAACTTTCAAAATGAATTTGTGTTACAAGTATTTCTTACAATCGTTTTCCCTTCTACATTCCAGATGAAGATCTTTGACAAAAATAAAGATGGTCGGTTGGATCTTAATGACTTGGCCAGGTGAGTAGCATGGAAATGGTGTCATAGATACAGAAACTCCTTCATAGGGGTTTGACGACAGCACACATTTCTTTTTGAAAGGCAGAGATTCAGTCTCACCTGAAATCCTGAAGACTAGGCACATATTACCAAATTAACCACAGTGGTTCTGAATCTTTTGGGATAACAGATCCCTTTACGGAGATAATGAAAGCTCTCCCCCCCCCAAATATGCAATGCACAAAATTTTCATCAAATTTTATGGATAGGTCATGGGCCAGCCCTGCCCTCAAAGTTCAGACATTCATAGTCCCACACAGGGACCCAATGACAAAAAAAAGTCCCAAGTCCCATTCACTGGCTCTAGGAATACTGAGTAGTTAGTTCAGGACAGAGGTCAACTGAGCTAGATTCCAGCTGCACTCTCTGGTCTTTGAGTGTTGGCCTATCCTCCGTGGGGCACCAAGCACCTGGAGGCTAGAAGTGGAGGAGAGGATGACGGCAGAAGTGACCTAGTATCTGCAAAAATGCTGTCAGTTTGGTGTTATGACACTTGACGGGCATGACAGCATGTTTTGTGAAGGCCAGCTGACCTCCAAACAACCTGTGATTGTCCATAAAAAGAAAAAAGAGATTTTGAATAGATGGACAGGGTTGAAATCATTGCATCCAGAATACACGGATCTAACTCTTATGGGGGAGCAGGTATAACACCAGGACCTCAGGATCAGGCTGGAGGGCAATTGTAGAGTGACAGTGACAGAGGGAGGCAGCTACAGGCTGAATGGCAGAAGTAGGTTTAGCTGGGAGAGAGAAAGTCCAAGGACTGAGGGTGAGTTTTCAATGACAGGGAGTTAACTTATCCACTAAGCGTGGATATTAACCTGAGTTCAGAATCACCAAATCCTGTACCAGCCCCCTCCTCTCTTGGCAGCTATCTCTGCCAGGTCTTGAAGGGGATCTGCAAAAGGGGACACACCAGGAAGAATCTCTCCTCAGTAATGACCAGGACATTGACCCCAGCACTCTATATAATCTTCTTTTCTGAGCCTCATAGGAACTGTGAGGCAGCCTATGTGTTTTCCTTGGCTTTCTCCAGGGTCTTCTTCCTAATTTTGGCCTAATTTCTTCCTAATTTTAGAGAAGAGGCACTGAAAGATGAGCCAAACTAGATGAGGACAAGAGTGCTTCTCCCAAAGGCTTAGCACAGAGGGGATCTCAGCCCTGCAGTCTTGCCTCTATCCTCTCGATCTCATTCACAGTTCCCACAGTTCTTTTGGCCAATCAAGGCAAGTGTTCCTCTCAAGTGGAGGTGAGTTCTAGCTACTGAGAAAGCTGTGTGAGAGAACCATTCCTAACAAGAGGATCCAAAGCACCTAAAGGATTCACTCAAAAGATGGCAATCTGGATGAAAAACGAGGCTTTAATCTCCATTCCTCCGTCCACCAAAAGCATCCACCCACCTCGTACGCTGACTCAATTTTGTACTTCTCGGATAGTGAGAGTCAGGAGCCTTGAGTGCCCTCTAGAGGCTGGAGGGTGCCAGTATCAGTAAGCTGCTTTCCACCTTATTGGTCCCAACGCTCTGTTTATTCCTGAAATAAAACCCATAGACAATGTAACCTATCTATATACATAATGCTAAAATAGTTAATATAATGCACAAACTGTAACACGTAAAGGATAAATAAAGGAAAAGTGTTAATAACAAAATAACATGGATGTCAGTGTGTAGGTGAAGACACAATGAAGTGGTCAGTTGCGTGTACCTTGGTGTAGAATCACCACGCATATTGCAGCTCAAATGTTGACTGATAACAAGTGTGGCCTTTTGGCAACTCATGTGTCAGGGACACAGTTGCTGTTGATATGACTTCATAAAATTATAAATAAGTCTTACAGGTAGAATTCCAAATGAAGCAAAGTACAATCACCCCTCAATTTACACAGCTCAGTATACTATACGGAAAATTTACAGACGTAGTAAATTACATATACTTTGAAAAAAATTCCTTGGATTTTTATGTAAATAGGAATTCAGTTTTAAGCTCAAATAATCATAAGCAGGGTTTTTACATACATGAATGCTTCACTGGATGCTTGAAAGTCAGGCCAGACATGGGAATAGTCTTCATTCTGTGGAAATTTCCATGCAAGGCAGGGCATCTAGCATTCTCGGCCCCCATCTACAAGATAGAGGAGACCAGTCATGTCTCCTCATCACTGCGATAACCAAAAAGCCCCCCTGCAGATATCCAAACACCCCTTATCGTGGTCTTACCTAGAGGGTAGGGACTAGGCCTTAATCTCTTAAATAATTTCTCACACAGTGGAGTGTTATGTTCATAAAAGAATTCAACGAATACTTGTGGACCGAAGAAGAACTTCAAGTAGAGTTGAATGGAGATGCAAAGCAACCAAACACTTACTGTATTATTTCAAAACCAACTTGATATGGAATTTGAAAATGGCAACTGGAATAGGCAGAATAAAGATGTCCATGTCCTAGTTCCCAGAACCGGAGAGTATTTTACGTCACATGGCAAGGATGAATCAAGGTTGCAGATAGCATGAAGGTTGCTAATTCACAGACCTTAAAATAAAGAGGTTATTCTGGATTACCCAGGTGGGCCCAAGGTAATAAGAAGGGTCCTTTGAAAGTGGAAGGAGGCTGAAGATCAGAGTCAGAGATGGATTTAAAGATGCTGCACTGCTGGCTTTGAAATGGGGGAAAGGACCATGAACCAAAGAAAACAGGCAACCTCTGGAAGCTGGAAAAGGCAAGGAAACTGAGTCCCCCCGGAGCCTCCATAAGGAACGCAGCCCTTTTAACAGCCTGATTTTAGCTCAGCGAAATCCACTGCAGATTTCTGACTTCCAGTACTGTAAGATATTAATTTATGTTATTTTGAGCCACTAAATATGTGGCAGAAAGGTCTTAAAACATTTTATACATGGGAATCTTCTTTTTCTACTCCTAGCTCTGAAACGCAGCCCTATTACTCCACATACAAGCACCTCTCAAGCATATGGCCTCTCACTGGCAATGGGGTTTAGACTGCTTGGTGCCAACAAACAGATAAGGACAGCATCTCTTGTAGATTTCCAGGATATTCTACCTTTTACTTGGCTCAAGTTAATTCTCTCTACCCTGGGCATCCAGAGGAGAAAATTTTCCAAGTTGTTGTACGATATGTTTTTCTGCCTTCCTCTATATATACCCATGAATATGAATACACTATGAATCCAATGACTTGGTCTTTTGAAACTGAATGTATTCCAGTGAAGTACAATTGTAATTATACAGAAAAGAGACAAATACATTTGCTTTCCAAGACAAAAACAAGATTAAGTTTTTTATTGAGTATAATTTATATATCGTAAAATTTACCCTTTTAAAGTGTATACAATTCAGTACATTTTAGTATACTAATAAGGTTGTTCAATCATCAACCCTACCTAATTCCAGAATATTTTTATTATGACAGAAGGATAGCCGATACCAATTGGGAATCATTCTCTCCGCCCCTCTTCTGCTAGCCCCTGGCAACCACTAATCATCTACTTTCTATTTCTATAGATTTGCCTATTCTGGACATTTCCTATATTTGGAATAATATAATATGTGGCCTTTTGTGTCTGGCTATTTCACCTAGCATAATGTTTTCAATGTATATCCATGTTGTATTATGTATCTATAATTCATTTCTTTTTATAGCTGAATAATATTTCACTTACGTATATACTACATTTTGTTAGTCCATTCATCAGTTGATGACCATTTGGGTTGTTGCTACTTTTTAGCTATTATGAGTAATGCTGCTATGGACATCTCTATACATGTTTTTGTGTGAATGTACGTATTTGATTCTCTGGGTGTTATTTACCCAGAAATGGAATTTTTGGTTCATATGGTAATTCTACGCTTAATTTTCTGAGAAACTGCTAAACTGTTTTTCCAGAGTAGCTACACCTTTTCCATTTCCAATGTAAATGTATACGTGTTCCAATTCCTCCACATTCTAAGCAGCACTTATTATTGTTGGCATCATTTTGATTTTACACATCCTAGTGCACATGTATCTCTTTGTGGTTTTGATTTGTGTTTCCCTAATGACTAATAATGTTGAGTATATTTTCATGTGTCTGTTGGCTATTTGTTTATCTTCTTTGAAGAAATGTCTATTCAGATCCTTTGCCTACTTTAAAATTGGGTTAATTGTCCTTTTATTGTTGAGTTGTCACAGTCTTTTCAATCTATGCTGGATACTAGACCCTTATTAGATCTATGATTAATAAACATTTCTTCCCCATTATATAGGTAGTCTTTTTACTTTCTTGATTGTGTCCTTTGAAGCACGAAAGTTTTTTTTGTTTTTTTTGAGGAAGATTAGCCCTGAGCTAACTACTGCCAGTCCTCCTCTTTTGCTGAGGAAGCCTGGCCTTGAGCTAACATCTGTGCCCATCTTCCTCTACTTTATATGTGGGCTGCCTACCACAGCATGGCTTGCCAAGCGGTGCCATGTCTGCACCTGGATCTGAACCAGCGAACCCCGGGCCGCGAGAAGCGGAATGTGCGAACTTAACCGCTGCGCCACCAGGCCAGCCCCAACACAAAAGTTTTTGATATTGATGAAGTTCGGTTTATCTCATTTTCTTTTGGTTGCTTGTGTTTTAGGTGCTATAGCTAGGAAACCATTGCCAAAAATCTAAGCTCATGAAGATTTACCCTTACTTTTCCTTCTAAGAGTTTTATAGGGTCAGTTTTCATTTTTAGGTCTTTGACATATTTTGTGTTAATTTTTACATATGGTGAGAGGTAGGGGTCCAATTCTATTCTTCTGCATGTGAATATCCACTTGTCCCAACACCATTTCTTGAAAAGACTATTCTTTCTCCATTAAATGGTCTTGGCATCCTTGTTGAAAATCAATTGACCATAAATGGGTTTATTTCTAGACTGTCAATTCTATCCCATTGATCTACATTGATTTATCCTTACGGCAGTACCACATCATAAGCTGTACAATCCACCTTGTCTTAATTACTGTAACTTCGTAGTAAGTTTTTAAATCAGGAACGATTTCGTCTTTTCCAATAAAGTTATGGCTATTCTGAGTTCCTTGCATTTCCACACAAATTTTCTGGAAAAAAGTCAACTGGGATTTTGATAGCTATTGTAGTGAATCTGTAGATGAATTAGAGAAGTATTGACATCTTAACAATATTAAGTTTTCTAATTTATGAACATCGATGTCTTTTAATTTATTTAGCTCTTTGATTTCATTCAATATTGTTTTATAGTTTTCAGTCTACAAATCTTATGTCTCTTTTGTCATATTTATTCCTGGGTATTTTAATCTTTTTCAAGCTATTGTAAATGAAATGGTATCCTTAATTTCTTGTTTGAATTGGCCATTCTAATGTATAGAAATATAATCAAATTTTGCACATTGATCTTGTATCCTGCAACCTTGCTGGATTCATTTATTAGATCTAAAGGTTTTTGAGGTATTCCTTAGGTTTTCTTTTCTTTTTTAATTGAGGTATAATTGACATAATATTATATTAGTTTCAGGTGAACAACATAATGATTCAACATATGTATATATTGTGGGATTTTCTATATAAAAGATTATGTCATCTGCAAACAGAGGTTGTTTTAATTCTTTCTTGCTATTCTGCCAATCTCTGCTTGTTAATGGAGTGTTTAATCCACGTACATTTAATACAATTACTGATCAGATAGGATTTATGTCTGCCACTTTGCTCTGCATCCTCTCCATGTTTTATGTCTTTTTCTTTGTCTCTTCTTCTATTACTGCCTCCTTTGTGTTAAATAGATCTTTTCCAGCCTACTATTTTAATTCCCTTGCTATTTCTTTTCCATATTTTTAAGCTACTATTTTAGCAGTTGACTGAGGGATTACAATTAACATCTTAATTTATAACAATCTAATTGGGATTAATACCAACTTAATTTCAATATTATACAAAAACTTTGCTTCTATATAATTACAATTCCTCCACTCTCCTTTGTACTGTTGTTGTTATACAAATTACATCAACATAGATTTTTAATTATTGCTTTATGCAATTGTTTTTTAAGTCATATAGCAAATAATGTTACAGATAAAAAATATACTTATATTGTCTCTCATATTTACATATGTAGCTACCTCTACTGGTATTCTTTATTTCTTCATGTGGATTCAAGCTGCTGTCTAATGTGCTTTCAATTCAGTCTGAGCAACTCCCTTTAGTATTTCCTATAGGTCACTTTTTTTGTTGTTGATAATTTTTTTTAGTGACTTTTCTGAACTAATTCTGTAAAGTCTGTATCTTTGTCATGTGTGCATACTAAAGTCTCAGCTCGGTTAGCTTAACTCAGTTAGCTCAGTTAGTTAATAATTGCACAGAGATTTTCTTAAATGCCTAGAATCAATAAGTCTCCCAGTCTTTGCTGAGGGGCTCTGTGTATATATTGGGGCACATCTTCAACAGTCAACCAGGCAGTTTGCAACTCTGCCTTAGCCTTCAATTCCTGCTTGCACAGAGCATGAAGATAAGCCAGAGGTGAAAGCTTAGGGCCTTCTTGGGTCTTTCCTGAGCATGCACACAGCCCTGGGCATAGAGGTAGCCCCATGCATGTGTGTGGCCTTCTAGATTCCCAGAAATATGTTGGAGCTTATAAAAGCCCCTATGGATATCTCATTCCTCAGCTTTTCCTTTTAAGCTTTTTGGTTAGCCTATTGTTTACTCAGATTCTTATCTACCGATTTGGTCAGCTGTGCTCTTAAACAATTGTTTCTAACTGTTTTTCACAAATGGTTTGCCCACTGGATGAGTTCAAAATCAGGTCAAATAAAGGCGTCTTTGCAAATGAAGTTTTTTAGGGAATGATAAAAGAGATCAAATACTGGCAGTTCTCTGGGTGTTAGGCTTTGAAAGAGCTCCTATCCTGTTCTCACTACAGTAGCTGCTAGACTAATGGTTTTCCCTGGGGTTGTGGGCTCTTGGTTTTTCAAGGATACCATGGGGATTTGGAGGATGGGGGAATGGAATAAGTTAAAATGCCAGAAAGTCCACTCTTCTCACCATGATTTAGTAATTTTTCCAAAATAAATATTTCCCAGATTTCTGCAAGCCTTTGGTTAATTTCCAGAGTTCTGAAAAGCATTATTTTGACCATTTTTTTGGTCAGTTTTCTTGTTGCTTTCATAGAGGAAAGAATTTTCATAAGCTCTTACTCTGCCATTTTCCACTAAGATGAATTTTTAAAAGTTTCTCTATGGTGACTGCTAATCTCAACAAAAGTCTTTCCAATTAACTTTGTTTTTATAATAAACAAATTTCTATTTTCAAGCATTTATCCTATTCTGCAGAATAATCGGGAAATTGCCTGCCCTTTCCTCACATTAGAGTTATGGATTTGCTTGTACTTGAGAGCTGACAGATCATCACATGGATTACTTTTTCTTTTTTTTCCATTTAGGATTCTGGCTCTTCAGGAAAACTTCCTTCTTCAATTTAAAATGGACGTAAGTAGTGACATTTCTCTAGATGGGTTTACGTCATTCATCTTTCTCTACAGAATTGAAAGGGAGGGAAGGAAAAAAGGCATCTATTTGTCTTGGCTTTAACTTATCTAGAGATTGACAAGGCACAGTGTTGGAATCAAAGGATTAAGGGTCATTAACTCAAAGTTTATAAAAGTTGTCTAAGACCCTGGAAGAATTGTACAACTGAAGTTTCACATTGCTGGACTGACATACTGTTTTCTCCATACACAGGCTTGTTCTGCTGAAGAAAGAAAGAGAGACTTTGAGAAAATCTTTGCTCACTATGATGTTGTAAGTGTGCCTCTTCATATTGTGCTGGCCATCTTTAGGTAGGAAGATTGTTTATCCCCATGTGGGGTCATTCTACTCACAGACCCTAAACTTATATGATGAATAGCAATCCCACATGTGTGTTGCTATGTTAAGGCACCCTCATCTTCTAACTTCTGAGAACTAAGTAAAAATGGAGAAAGGAACTATTTATGGTTGAGAAGAGGAAAAAATCACAATAGTTTTTTGCTCCTTAGATCCAAACTAAGAGAAAGTTTCTCCTTCTTGGTCTCTATTTAAAATAGTATGCTTGAAAATAAAAGCAAACAATCAAATTAAAAAGTGCATCCAACCTTGGGGCTGGCCCGGTGGTGTAGTGGTAAAGTTTGCACACTCCGCTTCAGTGGCCCAGGGTTCGTGGGTTTGGATTCCAGGTGCAGACACACACACCGCTCATCAAGCCATGCTGTGGCAGCATCCCATGTACAAAATAGAGGAAGATTGGCACAGAAGTTAGCTCAGTGTCAATCTTCCTCAAGCGAAAAAAAAAAAAGAGGAAGATTGGCAACAGATGTTAGCTTGGGGCCCACCTTCCTCTCTTCTTCTCTAGAAAAAAAAATGCATCCAACTTCAAGAAATGGGCAAAGTCAGACGTATTTGGCATAAGAACTACTTCTCCTATAGGACTAATTATTTGGTTCTTCTTTAGCATGGAGAAAGTAATAATTCTAAAGAACAAAGTACGGCAGAGAGATTGAATTTCCTGAGGACAACGTAGGGTAATGCAAGAAGGAAGAAAAACAAGGAGAAAATTGGGAAAGGTCATAAAAGATCCTGAAACTAATCAGACTGACTATCTGTGTGTCATATTCTGAGCAGAAAAGAGAATCACCTGAAAGAGGCAGTGTAGCAAAGTGTTTAAGTGTGTGGCTTCTGTGACCAATTACCTGGGTTTGAATCACTGCTTACTAGCCACATGACCTTGGGCAAATGATTTCAACTCCCTGTGACTCATTTTCCTCACCTGCAGAATTAGGGTGATGAAGATACTAATAATACCTACCTCATGGGGTTGTTATGAGAACTAAAGGAATTCATGTTTGTAAAGCTCTTAGAAGAGTTCCTGGCATGTAGCAAGTATTATACTAGTGTTTTGCTAAGTACACTGACTGGAATTTTAAAATGTTAAAGGTCCAGGATTAAAAAACCTTGAAGAGAATGGATGCATTGTCATAACTGGAACTTTAGAGGAGAAACTAAAATATTTTAATATGTCTTGTATTTTATAGGCATTCTTATAAAATAGGTAGAAAAAAATAAAGGTTTCATGTATTGACCATATAATTATTCTAATATGCTCACTCTAGTCTTTCTTCATTTAAAATATGTATTTTAATAATCATCAAATCATTGCTAAGTCGTAAAACAGAATTAAAAAAAATGTCAATCTATCCTTCAAAGGATCAATATGATCTGCAATTAATACCTGTCTGCACTGAATTCTGGTATTTGGGAAGCAGATAAAGTCAGTATAAATGTCATGTTAATGCTGTTTATAAGAGCCAAAGACCTCAAAACTACTGCCTCCCATTTGGTTACATGGGGGGAGTTATTTACAAAGAATTCTTTTAATTTATGTGAAACATTCACATCCTGCACAGAGAACACAAGTTGGAACATGTCATCTCTGAACCTGTTTGCAGTCACAAAAGAATGTTGATTTGGTCTATTTGCCCAATTTATTCTTTAGCCTGTTGACTTCAAAAAATGATATTTAGTTGAGTGGATCTTTTATCTTTCAGAGTAAAACTGGAGCCCTAGAAGGCCCAGAAGTGGATGGATTTGTCAAAGACATGATGGAGCTTGTCCAGGTGACTTCACGAGGCTGTGTAGATTATTCCCATCATGAATTGGGGCTGCCATTTTGATTGATTCCGTTGTTTACATTTGGGAATCAGTAGGGCTGAAGATTAATGATGGAGAGAAAATCTAGGGATGTAGTCTACTTGACAACCTTTGAGTTTCTGTGAAACCCAACAAATCTCCCTTTCTCTCTTAAAAGCATTTGTAGTTTCAATTAAGTGAAGCCCCCATAGGAGCTTCTTGTTCCTACCATTTAAAAGTCATCTATTTTAGCAAAGGAGCACAGGGTCACTGTATATCTTACTACTTTCTTTCTATTCATTTATTTATTGTGGTAACATTGCTTTACAACATTATATAAATTTTGGGTGTACATCATTATATTTCGATTCCTGTGTAGATTACATCATGATCACCACCTAAAGACTAATTACAATCCATCACCATACACATGTGCCTAATCACCCCTTTTTCCCTCTTCTCTCCCCCCTTCCCCTCTGGTAACCACCAATCCAATCTCTGTCTCTATGTGTTTGTTTGTTGTTGTTTTTATCTTCTATTTATGAGTGAGATCATACGACATTTGACTTTCTCCCTGACTTATTTCACTTAGTATAATACCATCAAGCTACATCCATGTTGTCACAGATGGCCAGATCTAAACCTTTTTTATGGTTGAGTAGTATTCCATTGTGTATATACACCACATCTTCTTTATCCATTCATCCCTTGATGGGCACCTAGGTTGCTTCCAAGTCTTGGCTATTGTGAATAAAGCTGCAATGAACATAAGGGTGCATGTATCTTTACGCATTCATGTTTTCACATTCTTTAGATAAGTACCCAGCAGTGGAATAGTTGGATCATATGGTATTTTTATTCTTAATTTTTTGAGGAATCTCCATACTGTTTCCCATAGTGGCTGCACCACTTTGCACTCCCATTGGCAGTGTCTGAGAGTTCCCTTCTCTCCACATCCTCTCTAACACTTGCTATTTTCTGTCTTGTTAATTATAGCCATTCTGATGGGCATGAGGTGATATCTCATTGTAGTTTTGATTTGCATTTCTCTAATAATTAGTGATGTTGAACATTTTTTCATGTGCCTATTGGTCATCTGTATACCTTCTTTGGAGAAATGTCTGTTCAGATCTTCTGCCCATTTTTTAATTGGGTTGTTAGTTTTTTGTTGTTGAGATGTATGAGTTCTTTCTATATTTTGGATCTTAATCCCTTATCAGATATATGGTTTGCAAATATCCTCTGCCAGTTGTTAGGATGTCTTTTCATTTAGTCAACGGTTTTCTTTGCTGTGCAGAACGCTTTTAGTCTGATGTAGTCCTATTTGTTTATTTTTTCTATAGTTTCCCTTGCCTGGTCAGACATGGTACTTGAAAATATGCTGCTAAGACTGATGTCAAAGAGTGTACTGCCTATGTTTTCTTCTAGAAGTTTCATGGTTTCAGGTCTCACATTCAAGTCTTTAATCTATTTTGAGTTAGTTTTTGTGTATGGTATAAAATAATGGTCAACTTTCATTCTTTTGCATGTGGCTGTCCAGTTTTCCCAACACCATTTATTGAAGAGACCTTCCTTTCTAGATTATACGTTCTTGACTCCCTTGACAAAAATGAGCTATCCACAGATATGTGGGTTTATTTCTGGGCTCTCGATTCTGTTCCATTGATTGGTGTGTCTGTTTTTGTGCCAGTACTGTGCTGTTTTGATTACTGTAGGTTTGTAGTATATTTTGAAATCAAGGAGTGTGATACATCTAACTTTGTTCTTTTTTCTCAGGATTGCTTCAGCTGTTTGGGGTCTTTTGTTGTTCCATACAAATTTTAAGATTCTTTGTTCTATTTCTGTGAAAAATGTCATTGGAACTTTGATGGGGATTGCATTGAATCTGTAGATTGCTTTAGGAAGTATGGACATTTTAACTATGTTAATTCTTCCAATCCAAGAGCAAGGAATATCTTTCCATTTCTTTGTGTCTTTTTCTATTTCTTTCAACAACGTTTTATAGTTCAGTGTACAAGTCATTCACCTCTTTGGTTACTGCTTTATTTTTTGACTGCAGACAGCCCTTCTCCCCTGGACTTGCTTGTTAGAACAAGTAGAGCTTTTAATTTCATGTAATAAGTCCCATACTTGGGATTCTAATTTTTTTTTTTTTTTTAACCAAAGGGTTGCTCTCACACCTAGCCTAAGATGGCTATTTTATCTATCAAGGCATTACTGTGGTTGGGACTGATGCAATTTAGATTACAGCTACATCACAGAGCAGTTTCATGTAGGGTAAACAATGTTTAAAAAAGCAATGTCCTTTGAGGTCCCGATAAACTGTGTAGACTGGCTGCATGACCCAGTTAGACAGATACTTTCCAACTCCTCTCTGGGAGTTTTTCTATGGGCCTGTGTAGACACTGAATTTAGTAGTCTCATCTCCTTAGGGAGTTTTTGAGGTTCGTACAGGACACAATAATTGCGTCCTGATTGGCCCAGATGGCAACAAATTAGAGTAGCAATGATTAACTGCTTTTGGAGTCCCAGACTCCTTCAAAAATCTGATTAGAACTATGGAGTTTTGTAGCAGAAGAATGCCCAGACACCGAGTTTTGTATGAATCTCCAGGAAGTTCACATATGCAATTGAGCAGGCACGGATGAGATTTTTTCTGACGTCTAATCAGGATGATGACTGAGGTGTCTTCTTTGCCTCCTAATTCTTGTTATTCCCATCCCAAGTGGTCGCTTGCCTCTTTTCTGTCCCCTTCATGCGTTGCTCCTGTTGGAGATTTCACCGGCATTTGCAGAGCCAGAATAGTTGACGGGTTTTGGTGTGGTATCGCCTTTTACATTGATTGCTAAGGGAAATGCCATTTTACTCATTATCTGTTTAATGCCAGAGTGACTTCTGTAACAGAAAATGAGCAATTACATGTAGGACATTAAAACTGCACAGCAGAAGGCCTTGCCAAACTGGAATCTTAATTTGCTTTTGATAGAATCAATGAGATGGTGAGCCTGTTTCTCAGAGGGGTACGGCTTCTTCCACACTGTGGAGCCAGAGCTGCCGATTGCCAGTGCAGAGCCCAGGTGCTTCAGATCCTGACAGACCCTTTCAATTGCCTTTCATCATCGCTGAGTTTGGCAATGGCTTCCAAAGGTTAACGGGAGAGGATGGAAGTAAAACCTAAATCAGCAACAGAGTGGAGAAGACATTTTTCCAGAGAAAATTGAAGAGAAGGGAAAAATTCTAGACCATTCAAAAACAAGAATTGGAAGCAAGAGTCTGCCTCATTCTTTGACAGACTCATACACCTCCAGGGGAATCCAGAGGCTCCCCACCACTTTGGACCTTGCCCCTCTATTTCTAGGGAGCTAGTGGAGCAAAAAAAGGGCATCTCTCGGTGTAAGTAGCAGACAATTTGAGACAGCTGGTTTCTAAGAATTGTGTCAGACTGTGATTGCTAATACAAAAGCAGTTTATAGGGAGCTGATTTGTTGAGCTAAAACGTAGGTACACAGGAGTTAACTATTAATGTTCTCCTCTGAAGCCAGATAATTGTGGGTACATACCTTGACCGGATCTTTCCTAGTCTTCCAGGTTGCTCAAAAAAAAAAAGTCACCTTACAATTTGAAGAATGTAGTCAAGAGGTAACCATCGTGTGAATCTGACATTTCATAGCTTCATAAATTAGTCATCTCCTCTGATTTTTTTCTTTATTTTCATTTCATAAAAAAGGGCCATGGGACAAATAAACAAACCAATATCTAGAATTTATTTTAAAAGCAACTATCAGAGCATACCATGGGGTCAGCAGGGAGCCGGCCCAGTTTCTAAGTGTACGGTCCTGGTCAGGATCCCTGATGTTTGCAATAATAACCTTCCTGTAGGCTTATTTCATAGCCTTTTAATTCTTGCACAACCTTGTATGACGCATTTGTTGACTTTGTATTACAAGAATTATTTGGTTACCAGAACATCCCTTTCCCTAACCTCTGGAAAATGGTACCCAAGGCTGTCCTCAGTCAGCGTGATGAGATAGCAAGTCCCTGAGGGAGCAGACACCATAATTTCTGTGCAAAGCTTTTTCAGAGCCTGTGGCTCAAACAGCACAGCAAGAAAATCAACATAAGAATGTACAGCCCAAACCAGAAAGTGGAAAGGCAAGACATTCAAGACTCCCAGCACCCACCAAGAAATAGAAATGTGAACAATACTGGAAGCCAAATAAATGGGATGCTGTAGATGACCAGGACGTATGCCTGGATTCCATGAGAGTTCCTGCCTCCAGGCCTCCCCAAAGTTCTCTCTTTTCCCTGCTAGATGCCCCATCTGCTTCCTTCTGTTGTTGACAAGAGGTGACAGGACTTAACCTAAAGGACTGGATCTAATCTAAGGCCCCTTGAAAGAGCTACAAACTCTTAGCACAAAGTTTATAATTTCTGTTCATTTTTACAAATGTAAAAATGATACATACATCATAGAGAAATTTGAAAGTAGAGGGGAAAAACCCAGAAGCATAATCTCTACACTCAAGTAGACCTCCTATTAACTGACTTCATTTCTGCGTATGTTTCGCATACAGTTGACATTACAGTGAATAAGCATTTCCCAATAACAGGCATCATTTGACTGACTGTATAATATTCCACCTGTAGTTAGATGATAATTTACCTAAACAGTCCTTTTGCTAGTAATTTAGATTGTTCCTCATGTTTGTGATTCAAAATAATACTGTAATGAGTAACTTTGTGCATAAATATTTATCTTTTTGGCCTTATCCCAGGAATAGAATTACTAAGTCAAGGGGTGTGCACGCTTTAAAATGCCTGGCACCCACTGTCACCTTTTATCAAACTTTTGAAGAAAGAGCAGTGTGTGCTTCCCTATTTCCTTCTTCAAAGTCCTTTCTGCCAGCCCCACCTGTCCTCCCCTCACTGCCCAGATAGCCAATGACTTCATTTTGACCCAGACTTGTCTATTAAAGAAGAAAGCAGTCTGGTATGTACATTTTTTCTCACTTTGATGTTAATGACTTAATGTACTGCCATCCCTTGGGTGATAACTTTTAAGAAGAGACCATGGGTGGCAAGGAGAAGGCAATGTAATCCAAAAGAGTGAATATCTAACAAAAGAATGTAGAGAGTGGGGCTGGGCCCAGTGGCATAATGGTTAAGTTCACATGCTCTGCTTCAGTAGCCTACTGTTCACTGGTTCAGACCCCTGGTGTGGACCTACACAGCGCTTATCAAGCCATGCTGTGGCAGCATCCCACATATAAAGTAGAGGAAGATGGGCACGGATGTTAGCTCAGGGCCAGTCTTCCTCAGCAAAAAGAGGAGGATTGGTGGCGGATGCTAGCTCAGGGCTAATCTTCCTCAAAAAGAAAAAGAACGTTGGGAGCTGTGGGAACAGGTGATGTTCTTCCTGAAGCTCCTCACATGACAGTACAGCCACCTGTGTCCACCACTCCAGTAGACTTCCCAATATCTGATCAGGCATTTCCGTTTATTTACCAAAATGGTCCTAAGAGAACACCAACCTAATCCCTCATTTCATTGTAAAATATCCAATGGCAGGTGACAATTAGAAGAAAATTGGGACAGAACTGGCCCTGGATATGGCATTTATTATCATTATTTCTTACAAACAAGCAGAGGCTTGCTGGCAGAGACCTGCCCAACATCTTAAGCAATAATGTCTTGGCCTCTGCCTGTCACCTTGGTGTATTCAGACACCAGTGTGGCCAATAAATAGCAACGTGGAGATAGAGAGCATGTTGTAATTTTGCACAGTTAGAGAATGAGGTTCTGGTTAATTAAACAGTGTGACTGACAGAGTCATCATAAGTGGATTATAATAATGCCATTCCTCTAGTGGTGAGAAGGTGGTGCAGGGCCTTGGGGTCACCGTGATGAATCTAGGATGGAGATTTGGGGAGTGCTGGTAAAGAGAGGGGCTGGACACTGGCTTTCATTATTTTAAGAGAAATGAAATGGGTAGAAAAGTGAAGGCATATGACAAAAGACTACCTTGGGAGATAGTCACTCACTAATTCCATAGATAGAATTGAGCACTTACTATAGGCAAGTGCCGGGGGGACAGATCCAGCCCCAGAGGTCCCCCTATTGCCAGATTTAAGGGGGACAGATAAGCAGTTTTCAGCCAATTATCCCAGATCCATTCTCACACTCTCCCATGAGATGGATGAGAAAAAAAATGTATTTTTACATGAAAGGGTATGATACAGTGTAGTGATAGAGAGATGTCTTTTGGGGACTGCCTGCCTGAGTTTGTATCCTGGTTCTGACATGTACCAGCTGTGTGACAGTGGACAGGTTAATTGGCCTCTCTGTGCTTTAGTTTGCTCATCTGTAAATTAAAGATGATAGTAGATACAGCCTCATATGGTTGTTTAAGTAGAATTAATGCGTGTAGAGGCCTTAGATCAGAGAATTGTATGCATTTATGTTGGTGACTTGCTATTAAAACTGAGGGCCTCAGTAGTTTCAGGTGATTTGTATTCTGTGATTCAAGCATTTTTGAGCAGTGGCATTCAGTTCTCCTGACTCCTAGTGAATTGTTGAGCGTTAAAAACATAACTCAAAAGGTCCAAATAAACATCCCTTACATTCACCTACATTCATACCTACATGTTCCACTTACCCCTGCTACCTTGCCCACACACACATTCACACACCAAAAATATTTCCACTCACTTGAAGGGAATAATTCCTTTTGTAGTTAACAGATTAGAAAAAAGGCTTAGAATAGGTTGAAAGAGGTAAATATATTGGGAAATTAATTTATGCTAATATGTAAACAACTACTACCTGAGCCTTTTCTAACAGCGGGGACTTGTTAAGAGGGTTCTGAAGCAGGGTGCCACTAACTGCAGAAAGAAGGTAGTAAAAGTGGTTGAGGATGCTGAAAAACAAACATCCTCATCTTGTTACTGTACAATAAATGAGCTCCCAATACGGAGCCACAGACGGTAGCCTGCTGTTTTCTGGAACTCTAAGCCATATTTCCTTGGGCCACACCTATAACTGCTTGGCACTGACACCCAGGGAGCTGTCCTTTGTGAACCCCAACAAAGGGAACCTACTGACAATGTGTTCCCTCTCAGCCTCTTTGTCCAGTCATTGAAGGACCCTCAACAGAGGAGTGAAGCTGATCAAGTTTAGCTTCTGGCCCCAGGACTCTTTCACCTCCTGCTATCTCCCAGAACCCTGCCCGACTTTGGTGTTTATTCTTCTTGCTCTGCCATCTGGCTCCCAGCTCCTGCTGCTCTCCTCCCTCCTTCTCTCTGTTAAATCCTGCCAACAGGGACAGATTTGGTGTCAGTCATTTACCCTGTGGGACAGTACAAATTAACTTGTCTTAATATGGCTGTCCAGTTGAAGAATGACAGGTTGTTTTCTTTGGAAGTGAGAAACCTTGGGGTGGGGTTGGGTGCTGGGAAATGCTTCCCAGTTTCCTGAGATCAAACCCTGCAGACAGCTGCCTCCTCAGCTCACTCATAACTAGTCCAGTAATCAAGGGGTTTGGAAATCTGATTAGCTCCTTTTCCTTTCTCTCTGGACACTGACTTTTTAAGTTACATTCATCACCATTCGTACGGCTTCATCAGGCCAGCCCCTTCTCCATGACAACAGCGCCAACTGCGGAAACCAGCCCTTAACTGAACATGGAAGACTGGGATCAAAAATGCTGTCGCACCTTTCTAATGTGGCAGGATGTTTCAGGTCTCTCTGAGCCTAGGTTTTTCAATTTGTAAATGAAGAGTGATCATTTACCTCCCAAAGTTATTGTGAGGATAAAATGAAATAACCTATGGAGGATCACTTAGTTCAGGCACCACTCACTTTTGCATGACTTGAGTTTAAAAATATTTTCCCAGCTGACATGTATCACCCTTCCTTCTTAGCCTCTATAATATCCCCTGGAATGAATCCCACGTCCCTCGCTCAACAATTTAATGTTTCAGTTAGATTTTCATTCATTATAACACTTTTGAAAACGAGAGGCACAAAAATCTCCCACGGGAAGATCATAAAATGTGTCTTCTCTCATCAGTGTAGCAAGTCAGAATTTGTGGTGACAATCTCTGCTCTAAGGCAAAATATCTTTATTATGGTTGCTAAAAAGGAAAGCTTTCTGTAAGAACTACAGAGAAGCGATGTGGGAATACAAGTTCTTTTGCCTGAAGAGCCGTGTTGAGCAACAAACCTGTCGGCAGGAAACTCGCCCTTGGCGACGTTTGGTGGGATGAGCGGGTAGAACCCCTTCCCCATGCCTGTCTCCACGGAGGCTTTCTCGGAAGGCAGGATGTCCCCTAAGCTTAGTGAGCATGGGGCACAGAGAGGGGGGTGGCATTAAAGAGTGGGACTGCCATTGGCTAGCCTATTGACGTGTTATTTTTCTTGTCCTCAGCCCAGCATCAGCGGGGTGGACCTCGATAAGTTCCGGGAGATTCTTCTGCGTCACTGTGATGTGAACAAGGATGGAAAAATTCAGAAGTCTGAGCTGGCTTTGTGTCTTGGATTGAAGATCAACCCATAATCCCCAGGCTGCTCTGCCTTTTTGCTCTTAGGGTGTTTCTGTGCGCCTGCTGGTAAAATTCTATCTGTGCTTTGCTGTTGGGGACGCAGTAGGCAAACTTTTCTAACAAGTGGTGTGATATTTTTGGGCAAGGGGAGGGACCCTAGAGTCTCCTTCTAGTGGCATGGTGTATTCCCACCTCACTGAAAGCCCCCCATACAGTGTCCGTGTTAGTTTCCCCTTGACCCTGGGCTTTCCTGTCCCCCCCAAAGACTCAGCTAACCTGCTGGATCTGCTCTGCTTGTCCTCCCCCAGTCACCAGGGAGGCTGGACAGCTGAGGCCACCCCTCTGTGCTCTTCTTGTGGGCTTTCTGCTGAGTGGCATCTGTCACAGTCCTATGACTTCTACAAATAGATTTTGACCTGGAAATAAACCTGCAGCTGGAAACAAAGATGCAGTCGTAATTGTTTTTGTGTTACGACCTTTGAAATGTTCTACCTGATGGTTTGACAGACAAACTACTTCTCTAAACTGGGATGAGGGGGAGGAGGAGAAGGAGAGAGAAGGGCAAGATCCTCATGGAATCCACACCACCAGTCCTCTGTAGTTCTTGGATGCCCTGGTGAGTTCGCATGAAAGTAGGAGTTGCCAATAATCACTTTTTATTCATTGCACAGAGAAGACCAGAACACTCATCCTGGGCTGGGGTTTGCTCTTTAAGTGCTCTGTGAGCTCACACGGCCAGGCCAATCGGAATGCAGAAGAAATCTGGAGAAAATGTTTCCCAGGTAACCCAAGCATCTGCTCCCCACTCCATCCCTTCCCCTTCTAACAGTTTCTTCTAGTGAATCCGGGACCACTGAGGTCTTCTCCTATGCTCCTGAGTATCGGGGGCCCCTCTGCCGGCTCCACCATGGACTCTGGAACTCTGACACGATCCCCATGAGAGGGGGGACTGCTTCTTCCTGGGACAGGGGCAGGCCCCACTTTCCTTTACTGTCCTGACACTTTATTCTCCGTAATATTCCTGTCTTATAGTAGACCGTGCAGGAATTTCAGGTTAATGAAGTGTTACAGGCAATTGAGAAAAATGACAGTGTAGCATGGTGTATGTAGAGCTGTTCACAACCCAAGGAACCCCAACATTCACAGAGGTTCCCCTCACGGGCACACCCTGGTCCTGACCTGATTCCCCTTCCCACAGGTGTCACTCATCTCAAACATACAGATCCTTAATATCAATAACTACCATTTACTAAGTGTTTTCTATAGGCCAAGTACTTCTAGGTGCTTTCCATACCTTACATAATTTAATCCTCATCAGAACCGTATGAAGTAGGTACTCCCCTGATACCCGTCTTAGAGATGAAGAAACTGAGGCAGAGAGAAGTTAAGCAATGTGTCTGTGCTTGTACATCTCGGAAGTGGGGAGCTGGGGTGTTAATTAGGGCCAATTTTCGTGCACCTTTCGGGAACCTAGGCCCCCTCCCCCAGGTTTGGTTCCGATGTGGGATCCACGGCCACATCCAGCAGGACATCTCTCCAGGTCTGGGGCATGAAGTCTGGGGTAACACCTGATGGGAGCTTGCAGAGCCCAGAAGGCAGCATGGAGCAAGACAGGCATGCAAACTTCTCCTCATTGTCCCAATGTTGAGCTGTGTACACACAGACCCTTCAAAGGACAAAAATTCATTTACAGGGTTCAGACAGTCTAAACCCACAAGAAGGAAAAAAAAAAGTCTCTATCTCCAGGCCATCACATGGTTCTGCAGAACGTTAATTCCTCTTCTTAATCTCCTGGGTTTTAACATAGTTGGATTTATTTTATATTTATTTATTGTGATGCTTTTTATATTTGGTTTGAGAAATATTGCTCTATAGGTCACAAATGCATTCTATTCTACTACCATTTATTAACACTTTTAAAAAATTATAGTAGGATATATATATATGAGATAAAATTTGCCATTTTAACCATTTTTAAGTGTACCATTCAGTGGTATTAATTACATTCACAATCTTGTGCAACCATCAACGCTATCTATGTCCAAAACTTATTCATCATTCCAAATAGAAACTCTGGACTCATTAAACCATAACTCCCCATTTCCCCTCTCCCTAGCCCCTGCTAACCTCTAATCTACTTTCTGTCTAATTTGCCCATTCCGGATAGTTCATATAATGTTTGTCCTTTTGTCTTTAGAATAATGCTTTCAGGATTCATCCATGTTGTGGCATGTATCAGAACTTCATCCCTTTTTATGGACGAATAATATTCCTTTATATGGATATTCTACATTTAGTTTATCCATTCATCTGTTGCCGGACACTTGCTTTGTTTCCACCTTTTGGTTATTGTGAATAATGATGCAATAAACATTACCACACAAGCATCTGAGTCTTTGTTTTCAGTTCTTTTGTGTATATACTTAGGAGTGGAACTGCTGGGTCACATGGTAATTCTACATTTATCTTTTTGAGGAACTGCCAAACTGGCTTCCACATGGCTGCATCATTTTACATTCCCACTAGCAATGTACATGTGGTCCAATTTTAATCTCCTGTTTCTAAATAGAGCCCTTTCTGGAACTTCCTGAAGTAGAAACTAGGCTCAAGGCTGACCTATATCTGCTTAATTCATGACTCTTCCTTTAGCTATAGGAAGAACACCTCTGAGGCTATTGCTCCAGCAATGGCTATATAAATTCTCAGCCAAGAGTCTTCATCCCCTTCAGTGTCTATCTGGACATGACTGAGGGGATTAACAGGGGAGGGAAGTTTTACTATTTTAAGGTAATTTGTCTGTTCAGATGCACAGAAGGCAGCTACTAGCCATGAGCACCAGCAAGCTTTGAGTCATGGCATATGGCTGAGACTCTATCAGAAGCTCTTAGGTTTCCTGCCTGATCAGAACCTTAGACTGGCAAAGACTTTTCCAAACAAGCAAAGAAAGGGCTGGTGGAGATCTTTGAGTGGAAAGGTGAGTCTGTTTGAGATAAGGGGTGAGTTCGCTCAAAGACATTCTCAATAAGTTTGAGCCTCAGATCCTACAATTTAGGTGCTGGTGGGTTTGTTGATGGATGACTGTCTTAGTCTATTCTGGCTACTGTAACAAAAATACCATAGACTAGGTAGCTTATAAAACAGACATTTATTTCTCACAATTTTAGAGGCTGAGAAGTCCAAAGTCAAGGCCTTGGCAGATTCAGTGTCTTATGAGAGCCCACTTCCTGGTTCAGACATAGCTGTCTTTTCCTGTGTCCTCAAATGGTGGAAGGGGGAAGGAAGGTCTTTGGAGTTCTATAAGGGCACTAATCTTGTTCATGAGGATGCTGCCTTATGACCTAATCACCTCCCAAAAGCCCCACCTCCAAATACCAACACATTGGGGTTTAATTTCAACATATAAATTTTGGAGAAACACAAACATTCAGCCTATAGCAATAGCCAAGGAAGGTAACTGGCCTTAGGCCTCTGCTGGAAAACCAAAAGGGAACTGAGTAATGAAGGAGGGCTGCCAGAAGGCAGAAGTCTCTTAGCAGAGCCCATGCTGTATATGTTTGGTGGGGCGGGGAGAGGTGTGATGGAACCCCTGAGAGCTGTGCTCTGTGCCAAAGATGTCTGTTCATTCATTCCACATCAGAAAAGAAGAAGCAACACTGTCTCTGTTTGCAGATGATACAATCTGATATATATAGAAAATCCTAAAGACTCCACCGAAAAGCTGTTAGAACTAATAAATGAATTCAGTAAAATTGAAGGATACAAAATCAACATACAGAACACCAAAGTGTACAGCATTTCTATGCACTAACAATGAAATATCTGAGAGACAAATAAATAAAACTCCCATTTACAATAGCATCAAAGACAATAAAATGCTGGGGCCAGCCCTGTGGCCGAGTGGTTAAGTTTGCGTGCTCCGCGGCGGCGGTCCAGGGTTTCGCCAGTTTGGATCCTGGGCACAGACGTGGCACCGCTCATCAGGCCACACTGAGGCGGCGCCCCAGATGCCACAACTAGAAGGACCTGCAACTAAGATATACAACTGTGTATGGGAGGGATTTGGGGAGATGAAGCAGAAAAAAAAAAAAAAGAGAAGATTGGCAACAGTTGTTAGCTCAGGTGCCAATCTTTAAAAAAAAACCAAAATCCAAAAACCAATAAAATGCTTAGGAATAAATTTAACCAAGGAAGTGAAAGATCTGTATAATGAAAACTATAAGACTTTGATGAAAGAAACTGAAGAAGACACAAATAAATGAAAGATATTCCACATTCACAGATGAACAGAATTTATATTGCTAAAATGTCCATACTACCCAAAGCCATCTATAGATAAAATGCAATCCCTATCAAGATTCCAATGGCATTTTTCATAGAAATAGAAAAAACAAAATCCTAAAATTAGTATGGGACAACAAAAGACCCCCAAATAGCTAAAGCAATTCTAAGAAAGAAGAACAAAGCTGGAGGAATCACATTTCCTGGTTTCAAAATATAAAGCTGTAGCAATCAAAACAGTATGGTACAGGCATAAAAAGAGACACATAGATCAATGGAACACAACTGATAGCCTAGGAATAAACCTTCGCACATATGGTCAACTAATATTTAACAAGGGAGTCAAGAATACTCAATGGGGAAAGGATAGTCTCTTCAATAAATGGTGTTGGGGAAACTGGCTCACCACATGCACACGAATGAAATGGTATCCCTATCTTACACTACTCACAAAAATTAACTTGAAATAGATTAAAAACTTCAGTGTAAGACCAGAAGCCATAAAACTCCTAGAAGAGAAGAGGGAAAAAGCTCCTTGACATTGGTCTTGGTAATAATTTTTTTGGATATGACACCAAAAGCACAAGCAACAAAAGTAAATATCAGTAAATGCGACTACATCAAACTAAAAAGCTTCTGCACAGGAAACAATTAACAAACAACAAAATGAAAAGGCAACCTATGGAATGGGAGAAAATATTTGCAAACCATCTATCTGATAAGGGGTTAATATCCAAAACATGTTAGGAACTCATACAACTCAATATCAAAAACAAACAATCCTATCAAAAAATGGGCAGAAGACGCAAATAGACATTTTTCCAAAGATGACATACAAATGAACAACAGGTACATCAAAAGGTCCTCAACATCATTAATCATCAAGGAAATGCAAATCAAAGCCACAATGAGATATCATCTCATACCTGTTAGAATGGCCATGATCAGAAAGATAGGAAATAACAAGTGTTGGTCAGCATGTGGAGAAAAGGGAACCCTTGTGCATTGTTGGTTGGAATGAAAATTGGTACAGCCATGATAGAAAACAGCATGGAGTTTCCTCAAAAAATTTAAAATAGAACTACCATATGATCCAGCAATTCCACTTCTGGGTGTCTACCCAAAGGAAATGAATCAGGATCTCAGAGAGATATCTGCACTCCCATGTTTATTGCAGCATCATTCACAACAGCCAAGATACAGAAACAACCTAAATGCCCCATCAAAGGATGAAAGGATAAAGAAGATGAATGGATAAAGAAGATAAAGGAGAACAATGGAAAATTCCTCAGCCATGAGAAAGAAAGAAATCTTGCCATTTGAGACAACATGAATGGACCTTGAGGGCATTATGTTAAGTGAAATAAGTTGACAGAGAAAGATAAATATTACATGATCTCACCTATATGTGGGATCGCAAACAGCCAGACTCATAGAAACAGAGTAGAATGGTGGTTGCCGGGTCTGGGAGTGGGAGAAATAGGGAGATGTGGTCAATAGGTACAAACTTCCAGTTATAAGATGAATAAGTTCTGGGGATCTAACGTATAGCAGGGTGACTAAAGTTAACAATATCATACTACATACTTGAAAGCTGCTAAGAGAGTAGATCTTGAGTGTTCTTACCATAACAACAACTGAAGGATAATTATGTGAGGCGAAGGATATGTTAACTACCTTAGTGTGGTAAACATTTCACAATATTTGTAGGTATCAAATCATCACATTGTGCAGCTTAATTTTACACAATGTTATATGTTAATTATATCTCAATAAAACTGGGAAAAAAACCTCACTAAGAATGAATAAAGCCTTTTTCAATTTGTTAGGTCCTCAGACCCCATTCTCTCCCTTGAATTATGATCCCAGTTATTCACTGTGCTGCTCATTTGGCATTTATGCCTCCGTGAAGTATCATTTTTATATTTAAGGCTACTTTTTTTTTAAAGTGGATTATAAAATTATTGATATCAAGGACTTGTGTCCTACAACCCTTTGTATATCTAGCACGTCCTCTGTGCTTAAGAATGTTTGGTGGTGTTGATGATGGTGGTGGTGCTGGTGGTGATGTCAGTGGTGATGCTGTTGGTGGTGTTGGTCCAAGAATCCTCTGCACGTTTTCTAATCTAACCCTTCCTTTTTCACATCTCTCTACCTAGTTTCATAGAAGCATAATTAGGGATGAGGCAGTGTTTAATACATTCTTTTATTGAGTCCACACGATACTAAAACAAAAACAAGAAAATGTAATCACATTTGCTGCATAATGTAGCCTAAAACAAAATGACAGATTTCAATCATTCATTTTTGTATAAAATTCAGTAAAACTGGTGTGAGTACCTAGCTTTATTTTCGGATATTGCAATATCAAAATTGCAATATCTGATCAACTCGGCCCCAAATCCTATAAAATCCAGCGGTTTGAGTGGACTTAATAGTCGCCCAAGTAACAGACTTTCTAATCGAACCCAGACAAGACTTGGTATAAAAACAACTCCAGAGGCTCTACTACTCGACCCACTGGATTTAGTTCTGCTTCTTGATTCCTTATTTCTTTATAAATTCTGAAATTTTATGTTTCCAAAATAGCAGTAGTCACCCTATTTTTGTTTTGTTCGTGTGAGAATACTTAGAGTCATGGATACTTCTATGAGAATTTTAGGATAATATGAGTTTCTAATTATCAATACA